AACCAGTCGTAATCGTTACAATGTCGGGCAAGCACAACATTCTTCATATTCTGACTCCCTCCTAATGTGAAGGAGAGGACAGAACCAATCACTGGAGTAGCAGATAGCTAAAGAGGACAGGATACGAATGTCGATGTCTTCGGCAGTGTGTGGGGTGAAGAATCTGGCTCAGTTTTCTGGATCAGAACTTGGTCAAAAACGTCAGGTCAAGGAACTTGAGACCTAGTCATTCCTTTCGAAGCTCGAGCTTCCACGTTTTCGATGTTGTTTGAATCGCTTTTTCGAGCTTTGACAAACTTGAGATGTATCAAGTAGTTTTTCTGCGGACAAAACATTGCAGGAAGGTTGGTCTTTGACAAAACGTCTTCAAATTAGGAACCAAAGTACTTTCTGGCTGGAAGAATCTTGTTGACCGTTTGAGTCCGTCTACGAAAGCGAAAATCAGGCCGTCCACTCGAGCTCTTTAAATGTCAGCGGGCAACGATCAGCGGCCTGCGTGCCACGGATCGTCCACGTCAGCAATCTCTCGCTTCTGATTTTGCCCAACACTGCCCTGCAAAATTCCGGAGTTCTTAAGTGGACGGGGTAAGTACTTCTGAGAGCTTGTGTGCTAGACTTGATGCTTCGTATCGAAATGAATCTCAAGCTGGAGGTATCTTTTCTTCAGGCGTGACGCCAGCGCCAACCACTGCTGCCCCGACCACGCCTGCCCCGACCACTCAAGCCCCGATAACTCCTGCCCCGACAACTGCCGCCCCGACTACCCTCCCCCCCGTTACGCTGCCCCCCGTCACTCTTCCCCCGACCACCCCGGCCCCTACGACCGCTGCCCCGACCACTCCCTCCCCGACAACTGCCGCCCCGAGTACCCTTCCCCCCGTTACGCTCCCTCCCGTAACACTTCCACCGACCACTCCGGCCCCTACAGGTGAGCTCACGTGGAATTTCAAAATAGACGTTTGCCCATTCATTCTTACTTTGTGTGTAGACGCCAATGCTCGTGTTGCTTGTCGGGCTCGGCCAGATGGTGGCTTTTGGTTCCGCTCAGGAATCTTAGCAACCAGTTTGTGGTTTCTGAATTAGTCGAAAGTATGGGTTTGGCTTCTCTATCAGAACTTATAGCAGTGCTAAGAACACTGCAGAGTTTGCAGTCCCAATCGGTTCCTACCTCTGACCAGGGTTTAACGGATCCGTCCGTCGCACAATGATTCCGTCTTAAGAATGTCTGGTGCTTCTAAACAGCGGAAGGTCTTGGTACGTACTCAGTGTTAAAGGGGGCGTCTGCGACGCGTACCCCTTCCGTCAGGCCCACGATGCCGACGGCACTGTTTTACCCCAGACTTGGTGCCGACGGCAGCTGCCGCCCGTATTTTTCGGGCATTTTCGTGGCGAACTTTACCCCCAAGAATACGCCATAGTGTCGCTGCGAAACCAAGGCCCCGACGCCCCTTTTAATACGCTTGATTGTCAAGGATATAAACTTGATGATTGGGCACATTCTAAGCTGGATCTTGCGAAAGCGGAACTGGTTCACAAATGATATTCAAACCCTAAATCAGGAGTTACCTGTCTTTGACTGTGCGACAAAAGTATATCGAGCATTTGTCAAACGGGAGCCTTTTGAGCACATTCTGAACTCACCAGAGGATAATCGAGACTCCGGTTCCGGGGTTCAATCCATCGCAGGAAGGGGCCGGATCTATGAAGCAGACGTGTTCAAACCCTGCAGCCGGTTTCATTCTTGTTGAAAACGATCTTGTTAGCGCCGTGCGTTTACGAAGGGGATTCGGATTGTCCAAAGAGTGCCTTTGCCTAACCGAGAATTTTAGAAGAAAGTCCCGAGGAGCAACGATCAGCGGCCTGCCTTTTCACCCGACATTCGCATCAAGGTTCTTTCGTTCCTGCTCTGCTAAGACATCAAAGTTGATAACTGGACTGGGTAAGTGCCTTCGAAAGGTTGTGTGCTGGACTCGGTTGTATTGTTGGAAGGAAACTAAAGCTGGACGTATCTTGTCTTCAGGCGTGACGCCAGCGCCAACCACTTCTGCCCCGACAACCGCAGCCCCCGTAACCCTCCCCCCCGTAACCCTTCCCCCGACCACGCCTGCTCCGACCACTCCCAAACCCACAACCCCTGCCC